TGATGAAGGGAAAGTTATGAATACATTAGTAGAGGTTGTTGTTTTTTTTAAAGTTATGTAGTGTATCAGAATAAGAATGAAACTCAACAAAACAAACAAATAATATCAGAGTGATAACATTGGTCAAATGTGCATTAGTAGTCTGAAAGTTGTATTCAGACATTTGAGGGAGCATTCAATGAGGACATCTAAAAACTGATGACAGCCTACACACACAAGGTTACACACAGGAGTTATGGGGACAAAAGAAAAAAACACTGATTTTTACAGCAATTTTATACAGTATGAACATGAGAGGATGCAACATTGCAATGCAAATGTTCAGCAGCCTTATACAATGAGTGAATTCAGGATGACATATGAGTAAATGATGAGAGAATTCAGGATGATGTATAGAGAAGTTTTTTTTTTTATATATATTTTTGGGGGGCAGAAAGTTATAAATAGAAAAGAAACCAAATTTTTAAAAATATTTTGATTACACCTAGAGCAGATTGAGTATCCAAAACAGCTAACACATACTTTTACAAGTTTAAGACTAGAACTTTAAACAAACAAAAAAATTTAACAGAAAAGCTCATGTCAGTGTTTCAACTATCCTTTCATTCACTGGAATTGTGTGACTGCATACTAAGGTGCATTAGACTAAGCGCCATCCTTGAGCTGCCTTGTGGAGAGCTGAGCCTGTTACTTCAAGCAACACAATTACTCTTTAGTATGCACAAGTCCTTTTGTTGTTTTTTTTCTTGTCATTTTATTTATAACATAAACATTCATTTTTAAGCAGGGCTGTGGAGGATCCCAAGAATATGGACCAAAAATACATTTTTAGAGTCTGTACCAAAATTTAACAGCTTTGCACAAGTACCTGGAAGGTTTCAGTGCTGCCTATAGATGTTCAGGTGGCATGGTAGCTGAGCATTTGGCTTCTGAACCTGGGTCCTGTATTCAAATCTCTGTGAAGACTGGGATTCTAAATTTTGGGATTTTTAAGGAGTCCCAGAGTTCACCCAACTGTAATGGCTATCTGAATTTAGATGTGGAAAGTAAAAGGGGTTGGCATTGTGCTGGCCACATGACACCCTCCTTGTAAATCATTGGCCTTAGAAACAGATGACCTCAACATCTGCCCCATAGATCACAAGGTCTGAAAGGAAAACGTTTTTTAAATGTTCAATAAACCCAACTTGGCTTGAGTCTGGTTTCAAACTCAGGCCCCCTTGTTAGGTAATCAAGCAGTTAATGTCACACACCAACCCAAGTCTGTACACATAACTTTGACCCAAAATGGCAACAACTCCACAACCCTGGTATTAAAACAAATAACATTAATGATTACAAATCACTAAGCATTCCAATAAACTGTAATTATGCATTATCTACTAATGCACCTTTAAATTATTCATAAATGATTGTTGTTCAGCTAAACTAACCCTCAGAGTTTGTATAGTAGTTGCATTTTTGTACCACACTTTCTGATTTAAAAAAAAAACAACTTAATATAAATTTTTGAATAATTTCCAAAAACTGAAATTGTCAAAGGCACATGTGAATTCATTTTTATTATATTTAAAAAGTTAAAAATAAAAAACATTTTCCCTTATGAAAATCAAACCGAAAAAAAAAGACTAAAAAAAGCTCAACAAACTACAATTCTCAATTGTACACACATATCAAACAATGATCTAGCTATAATTATCAATTGTACACATATCAAACAATGATCTAGCTATTATCAATTGTACACACAATGATCTAGCTACCATTATCAATTATACACATACCCAAACAATGATCTATCTACAATTATCAATGTACATACACACCAAGCAAATGATATTTTCAAAAAAGGTTGAAAAGCTTTTTGAAAAAATAAAAAAGCAATACAAAATATTTTGATAATATATCATGTGCCTTGGAATGAAAAAATAATAATTCTAAGTCGCTAAAGAAACTATCAACCAATTCCAAGCTATCTGAATAAGACAATCAGGAGCTAATATAAAAAAAACATGACCACTAAATGAAACCAAAATGTTGAGAACAAATGATAGAATGACATTTAATACAAAGTTGGTGGAAGAAAAAAAAAGTTACACCCTCAATAAAATTGGCTACTAGATGTCTACATATAATAATTAAGACAGCATGTTTTGTTTTGAGCAATATATTGTGCCAAATGCTGCCCTACATCCACAATGATGTCACTTAATGAAGTAGGAAATGTCTATACATAAGCATTTTTTTTTCCAATCAAGAAATGGGTGACAAAGTATCCATGTAAAAAATGACCCAGTAAGAAAAAAAAAAGTCAATTCAATCATTTTCAATTGTAACACTGCTAAAACCAGGTATGTACCAATAGTTGGGTTATAAATTATGGTTAGACCCTCTTGTGATCAGTTGAGAGACATTTGAATGTTGATGACTTGCTCTAAAGTCTATAAGACCCACTTCTCCAATTGATCATTTGAATATGTAAGCTCATGCTATTATTATTAACTATACTTTCAGTGTCCAAAAGTCTTTCCTAAAATAAGCCTACAATAGTGAATTCAGCAACTAAGCAGTGGAACAGATGTCTACCTAGTACATGTCAATATTACTCAAGTGTCTGCTGTGGTTTGCTTCAAATTCTCCCTATTAAAACTAGTTATAAAGGTAAGCATGCTGACATTAGTAGATGTAAGGGAAAATTCTGTAAGGAACCTTCTCGCAGTATTTATTCCAGCTGGAGCCATACTTTTTCTGGCACTGCTCAAAGTCTCGTCGTTCACGATGGATTAAAAGCACCAAAAAGTAGATAGGATAGAAGTACGTCAGAATTTGTCCAAAGCCTGGGAGGGAAAATAAAAGATTATTAGCTGAGGTTCATACTTTGTTTTTGACTTTTTGAATTAATTGTGAGTTAGTTGGATGAGACTTACCTGTAGTTAATGACCAAGAAAGAGCCATAATTAGGTCACCAAGGTAATTAGGCTTCCTACAGAGTCCCCACCAGCCAGAGACCAACAGTTTCTTTCCTGCTTGAGTGGGTATGACTTCCATTCCTAAACACAATGGATAAACATTTACATCCAGTCCTAACTAACATATATTAGCACTATTGTGCAGATTAAAAAAAAATTAAAACAAAATTAATAATAAGTCTTCAAGTCTGAAAATTTCCCATGGCTATGATCTACATATTTTGCCACATTCAGCACAGACATAACCATTGTTTGCATGTGTTTCAGTTTAGCTTCTCTTTCAAGAAAACTAAATTCATTACAGTTGTGCTGCCTCTGTAGGATCTTGAAAATCCCATGGCAATAAAGTGTGTAACACTGAGATTATACTTCCCTGTACAGGTCTTCCCAATATTTTTACATTTCTCAGATGATGCCTGCACTGGCTTGGTCATGTCCGTCTTATGGAGGAGAACAGTAACCCAAAAGTCATCCATTATGGCCAGCTCGCAAATCGTTCATGAATATTGAAGAAAAACTGGTCTTCCACACCTCAAAATACATAAATCTAATCAAAGGGGACCTCAGAGCAGTGGACATTGATGCTGACTACTGGAAAGCAGAGACCTCAAATGCATTATTTGGAGAAAGATGGTGACCAAGAAAGCTATGGACAGGAAAAATGCATTGATGTCTGCTATGTAAGAAAAGTAAGCCAAACAAAAATTTCTGGCTCATTTACCACCAAAGAGAATGCCATCCTAACCTGTGAACAAAAACGTCCCTGAGAATAGAGCAACATAGTCACATGATGAATAAGTGTTCCACGAAATGAACCTTAGTTCTACAACTGAAGGAGGCCACCAACACCGTCTACATTTGTCCAAGGTAGATTTCTTTTTGATCTCAAATGTGTATTTCACAAACTTTGTAATACATCTCCAGCTGTCTCGCTTGGAAGCCACGTTGTCCTAGCTGTGATCTAAATTATTTGCAAAATACAGCTCTGACATACATCATTGTCTGCCTTTGATCGGTTTAAACTCTCTTTTTGCCACATTGAACTGTCCACAGCAGATTTCCTTTTGGTCTCAAATGTGTATCTCATGGTCTGTATCAGTTAAAGCAAGCTGGATCCAAAGCTTGTCTTTAAAGCATTGGGGGGGGGGGGGGGGGGGGCGGCGCACCTCTCTTACACCAACCAACTTTTAGCTTGACAAAAAAGACTGCCTTAAACGCACTGTCATTCCCCATAAGGGATAAGTGCCCAGCGTGGCTGTCATACTATAAGCAGTCCCTCTACACTGTCCATGCCCGCATAGGCAAGAACATAATAATAATAATTCTTAAAGCCTGAAGCAAGCTCAGCAGTAGGCACAAGGAGTTGTCCCCATTTTCTATACAAGTCACATACTACAGCTCACAATAAGTTTTAAAAACTGCATTTAGCAAATTACTTGTCTATAAATTTGTATTACAACACACTCTATTCTAAATTGCCATTCTCCACAAAAGGATCGTGCTTATTTTAAATTTATTTACTTGAATGCTGAGGATCATTATTTATTTATTATAGTTAATAAAGTTAATTATTCATTGATTATAATTAATTAATAAGCTTTATTGAAAAATGTTAATTCTAACTTTCTTTTTTTTTTTTTCAAGTTCTCAAATAACTAAAAATTGAAATTACTTACCTGAAAATAGGGGATCTTTAGGGTCTCTTCTGAATCTGTCCTTTTGAGAATTAGACAGGCGAAAAATAGTGTATCCCACCACTGTTACATAAAATAGGCAAAAATTTTAATTACAGATGTCTTTTTTTTTTAATAAGATAATACTTATAAAATATGTATTTGTAAGATAAAAGTGATTTTTTTTAATTTTAAAGATAATTTAACTTACAGTTCAAAAGGGCTATTGGAGCAAGACAGTACCAAGGCAAAACAAGTTTGCTTTCATAAAGGAAGCGAGGTTGGAGACTGTAGAGGAATGGTACCCAAGCAAGATCTCCAAATGCCAGCATAAATCCAAAGCCATCATGGATGATGTCCATTGTTGTTAGAATGGCACTCTATAGAATTAGCCAAAAAAAAAACCTAAAAAGTAATAGCCTGTAAATAATAACAAAACCACATCTTTTCAAATGTGATAAAACATTTCTGGGACAACTGAGTCATCATGGCCACTTAACATTCTGCAATCAATACTTTGACAATGCCAAATCAAGTGCAACTGCTAGCACTGTCATGATATGTGCATGAACTAAACAAAGAAATTGTGATAAATACACATCATCTATTTCTATTGTTTGTGAAAATAAAAAGTATACTATTTTCTTAACCAACATAACAAAAGGGTTTCTTGTTTAATTGCTTTTAATTTAGAAGAAAACTGACCTCAAACCACAAAGCATCTGCCACATAAATAGTCTGGAAGACTGTAACTAAAAGTTGATTGGCAGGCAAGGTTCCATTCTCCTCATATGCTTTGTAAACCATAATCCAGTCCATAATGACCCAGCCAATCAAGCCTGGCCTCAGTTCACAGAAAAACTTTAAATCAAGGGAGCCGACACGAGGATTCAACTCACGGCCAATGAAAAAGTCATATATTACATTTCCTGAAAACAATATAAGACCAAATTAAAATCAACATAGAATGAATACATTTTTCTAATTACACAATAAGAGCAGACTGTGCCTCTTGGACATTACCTGTGTTGCCACCTGGTGCCAGTTTTTTAGGATTCACAAATCTAGAGCTGATATAGAGACATACACTTAGTGAGATACTGAAGACTACTGCACTCGTCATGAGTTTGTAGAATTTATCCACAATCTTGGTTACAGGGCATTTGAAATAGATGGCTGCTGCCAAGGTAAGTAGGCTAACAATCAATGCAAAGAACCCTATTAAAGATAAAAAAAAATGAAAAATTAAGATACAATTTATTCAAGCTAAAGCCCTCACCAACTCACTCATCAATAATATTCACCCACTTAGACTCCACCTAAGATTAGATTATTTATCCAGTTCTTCCTAATCCTCTCAGATTACACATTTCAACTGACCATAACTGTTAATTGTTCAAAATTATTTTTGGTTGTTTGGTTTCAAGATGTATGTTGACAATTTTATATTGGTGCACTACATTTCACAGCACTGTAGACCATTATCAGTGGATGTATCTTGGGACAGTCCCAAATTGTGAAAGGGAGCATCTAATTCTACTGGAGAAAGTCAAGTATTTTATTTTATTATATGCAGGCCAATTATTCACGGAATGATTCAACCTACCCCTTAATATGATTGAGAGTCTACATCCTAAATGATGAACCTAAGAATTTGTATGTGTGTTATGGATGGGGTGGGAGGGAATTTTTTTTATCTCAAATGTTTAGCTGTAAGAAAGCAAAGGTATTTTTCTTTCTTAAGGCTACAATTGACCCCAGATAAGTTTGTGTGTGTGTGAGTGGCAACTATGTAGGAGGCAAAGTAAAAGTTTAGATTTTTACTTTATAGCTGTAACTGTTAGACAAAGGAAGTGTGAGTCTAAATTGTGAAAGGTGTTCCTCTCAGAATGTTCCTCTGCAAAATACAAAGCAAAAGTGTTGTATCTGTAAGGGAGACAATAATTCATGAGTCAGAAGGGTGTGGGAAGATGCAAACATAATTCCAGACAAAATAATCATCATGTAAGCAACTTTTTTCAATAGATCCAAGTTTGGGGAGATCAGCTTGTAAAGTATAAATCAGCTTTGTTGAAGGCAGTAAGAATAAATTGTGAGGTTATTTCCATTACAATACCTTCTCTCTTAAGAAAGACATAAAGTGAATTTTTATCCATGTTTTATATATCAATAACTATATAAAGGTGAATTGCTTTCATAAAAATATTTTTTCATTCAGTTTACTTGTAAAAAATAATTTCATATTCATAGCACTGTTCAAACTTAATGTTGGCTCAAGGTATTTAAACAAAAATAGTTTTTAAAAAAAAAAACTATTACTAGACTTAGAAAAACAGCTGGGTGAAATTGCAATCAAATATTTTAGTTGTCCCAATCTTTTCAAGCACTACATTCTAATTTCAATACTTTAACTTTTTTGTCTGTTTTACCATTGCATCTGTACTTGAGTCTTCCACCAGACTTGAGTGGCTGCCCTTCATAAACTGACCCAACAGGTAATAATGCCAGCACAACTTGGAAGAAAAACCAAGCTAAGAAGACCAGCATTGATTCCACTTCAAAAAATTCACCAATAATATTTCTGGGAAGTTTTGGAATTTCTAGAATGGAGCAGCGACCCTGAAAAATAACACAATTTTATATTGGTACATGTTCAAAAAAATATTAATGCAAACCTATACAAAAGCCATTATTAAAATAACACAGACATTTTAGATTGCTAATATTTTTGGTTTCCTTTAGGTGCACAATATGCTAAGTTGAAAAGTTCTATTCAGAATAAGTCTACTTCATTTATTCATTAATTAAATTATTTATAAATGTTTACCTATCTTTAAATCATTTGTTCCCCCCAAATCAACATTTTTGTTTATCCTTAACATAAAGATTTATTTCATAATAAATTTTCGTACTTTTCTACATGTCCAGTTGATGTAATAAACTGTAAATGGCAGAAGAAAAATAAGAAAGAACGTTCCTACAGGACCCATGAACTCATAATGAGGACTTTCTCTGGTTGACTTGGTTGGCTGTGGCTTCTCCAGTGGTGGAGGAGTCTTAAGATTAGATAACATTTCAGATCTTAGTTGATCCCTCAAACGTGCAGACTCTTCTCTCTGGTAAAAGATAGATTAAACAGAATTAAACAAGAAAAAAATAATTTTGTCAACATCATTACATTAAAAATTTGCAATAATTTTGATAATGTTCCTAGTTTGTCAATTATACTAATTACAGAAAAGCCTGATTCACTATGCATAAACTGAAGTGGCTTGGAATGAGAAGTTACTTTGAATCACAAGAGCTTTGATTTACACTTTATCAATGGCAATAACTTACTAACATGACATCGAATAAAGTTATTTCTTTTTTATGTTTAATCCTCAGAGGGTATTGCATTTCTCATTATTTCAGTTTGCTCATCTATCTCTCTCTCTATCTATTTAAGTTTTTTGCAATATCATTAACAAATTGTTCAAGGCAATACCAGATTTCTCAGCAACAGCTTTCTTGGGCCCAGCAGTATAGCAAGAGATAATGATTACAACAGTCCTTATTTAGTATGGTGGGTGAGAGAAAGGTGGAATGTAAGAGGTATCCATCAGCCAGCCTTAGTCCCTCACTAAGCAGACCCATTCAGGCCAGCCTAAACATTTTTTAACAGAATGCTAGAATCCTATGGATAATGGTGTGCAGACAGCTGGCTTGTTATGGGTGGATGGAAACAGTGTAAAGCACATAGAAAATTGTCAATGTTCTAATCAAGTAATCTGGAACCATGCGTAATTGGTGTTAAATTAACAGATTGGATGAGGAAGGAACACTGTATATAATGAGAGGTTAATTAATTCTGTGGCTTACTACAAAACAAATGGGATAAAGCAATAAAATAACCCAACCACATTTATCGGGCCAAACAAATGTCAGACCAGTGCTATTAGAGCTGTTTTGACTCTGAACATCCTCAAATCCTCATTTAAAAATCCAAACCACCACCTGGGTTTGAGATTTAGATTTGGCAGCATTCAACAGTAATAGACCAACAAACCAATAATAGACCAAAAAACTCCAATTCATAATAAATTGACAAAAAAAAAAGAAAAGAATTGAAGATCAAGCAGGTAGATTAAGGAGGAAGCAAAAAGAAAACTGGGCCTAAGCTACTAAGTGAGAAAAACAAAAAGTAAACCAAAATGCAGAGCGATTAGGATTCACTTGAAGCATTATCTTTAAAAACATTTGTTATATCCACAGCTAATTATGCTATGTTAGAAAATTTTATTTACTTTATACCATGTTTTAACCAAAACAATGACCCCCTTCCACTGAACAAAAACTACCTCTTTCTCAAGGATAGATGATATTCTAGAGGATGTTCTGACAGGGGTAACAGAAGCCTGCTCCTGCTCTGCTGAGACGTTGGATGTTACTATTCTAGTGGTCACTGTTGTTTCTCTCTTGGAAACACGTGATGGAGATTTCCCTGATGGACGTGGGATACGTTTGGTTGACTTTGTTACCTCCTTAAAACAGAAAATTTTAAAAATTATGCCACATTATAATTTTAAAATCTTTAAAATCCTTTTTCCAAAGCTACTTAGCTTCAAATTCTAAACTAAAATGTACAAAGTTTAATAAAATTCATCAAGTCTTGTATGCATCAAAATGTGCTCTAAGAACTAAGAAGAACCTACTATTGTAGTTTCCACTTCAGGTTGGGGTTCAGCTTTAGGTTTCCTTCCAGAGCTTCTACTACGGCTGCGAGTAACTTTACGAGATGCTGAAGTACTTCTACCTCTGGCTTTGCTTCTTCCGGGTGACTTAGAGGTCTATAGATGACAAAATGGAAAATAAGATAATCATAACTAGCAATTAGTAGTATTGCCTGTGGTAGCAGGAAGGAGGGGGTTCTAACATTCAAAAAAATGTTAATTTAAATAAGGTACATTATAAGGAACTTACATACATACAACTTACATGTACTTTATATAATATATAAAAAAGGATACATACTTTATATAATATATGAGGAAAAAGACAAAGTTTTTAATTAAAATCCATCAGAAATTTTTTCTTTAACTGTCAACATTTGACTGTCTATACTATCCTTGAATAGTCACCTATCTGCTAATTTTTTAATTAGGTCACTATCTACTGAAATGATAGAACTGGCCAGTATCAAATAAAACCTAAACAATGACTCTGAATCTCAGTTAGCTCCCATCCTTTCAAAGAAATGCCAAAGGTATTAGTCTTGACATTTAAAAATTCATGACAGATTCAAATTATACATTATCAAGTCATTTAATGAAATGCTGGAGGCGCTAAAGCCTAGTGGTAAGTGCTTGTTTAATTTTGGAATCTTTGGGCGCCTCTGAATTCACCCAGCTCTAATGAGTACCTGACATTAGTTGGAGAAAAGTAAAGGCTGTTAGTCGTTGTGCTGGCCACATGACACCCTCATTAACCATAGGCCACAGAAACATATGACCTTTACATCAGCTGTCCTTCAGATCACAAGGTCTGAAAGGGGAACTTTACTTAACAAATGAAAAGCTAAATGTTAGTTTTAAAAAAAAATGTTTTTCACCTTTCTTGTCTTAAACAATACAGTAAGGAAACCCACTACCCATCATGTATTACATGATGCAATTTGCAAAAAGT